GAGATTTTAAGCCTTTTTAAAAAGAAAATATATGTACTGTCTGAACGAAACGGAGATATATGCTTATTTATAATGAAACGGGTACAGTACAATGTACATTTTACGAAATTTGCTTCGAAAAAGGGGTTTTCTTGAAAACCATAAAGGTTAATGTAAATACTCTACAATCTTGATAACTTGAGTTGAGTGAGTAAACTTATTGTTTTTTATTTATACTTGAAGATTATAAAATTAAGTAGCATATAACGTCAAACTAGTATTTTTAACGATTGCCTGTAGCCTCTAACTAATTGAATTATGACGATGTTTGGTTAGTCTTTAACTAATCATCATCAACCAAACATCATCTCCTAGACGTTTCCTTAACTATTAGGATCAGAAGGAGCCCAGGCGGTCAGTGAGCTTTTGCTATACGCACGAAAGTCGTTATTTAGTAGCTGACAGTTACTTAGTAAGAACTTCATGGCTTCATTACCCTATATTTTACATTTTTCAGCATGGAAGTGCAACTTCATAGGTAGTTCCTAAATATTTTATTTTCTGTATTCTACTTTCGAGGTTAGTGTTATGAATCTTCTTAGTCAGTAGCTGGCATATTCGGACGAATTCAAAACGGGGAGATGAAAAAAGCCAATAAATATTTACACAACGGTGGTGCAACGACGACGTCTGGTCAGCGACTGCATCCGTAAATAAAAGTGATACGGGATGGATATTGCGCTAGTGATATCCAGGAATTAACCCCGATCCACATTATCTTTCCAATCGGAAGTGTTAGCAATACAGAAATAACCGTATAATTCTGTCGGTACCTACTAGCTTAAACGTTGTATTGCCACATTGCGCTGCGTGGAGAGCTTTCGGTTACCGCAACTGCGCTAAATTAGAAATGGATTGTAGCTTTGCCACTGTAATGGCTTAAAGATTTTAACATTGTAGATTAGATCTAGATCCAGATGAAAACTATTTACCAAATCAACTAAACGACGCATCAATGCTTATTTATTCTAGAAGAAAATACGTTTTTAGATAATAATAAGATAACTAGTTCCACATAGCTTTACATATTTGATATTTATCAAGTTTTATCGTTGATTCGTTACACTTTTCGTATCCTATATTAATAAATTTGCACTAAACCGTGTTAGTAGAACTGAACAAAATTGATCGTTAATCATGTATTTGTTTGAAATGAACCGTTTTAGTGTTTTTCGCGGAAGCGCACGTGGGCTGCGCGTGCGCCGCCGCCGGGCTTGTTTCATAATACACATGAATGCAGTAAGTTGAACAGTTTATGAATGACATATGGATTTTGGATGTCTGGACTCTTTTATGTTTACGCATCAATGTTCAAGTCAAATTACTTAAAGATTTATTCCTTATAGTTTAATTTTTACCTACACGAGAGTGAATTGTTTATTTTATAGACGCACCAACTACTCCCTGTAATCAGAAAGGATCTGTAGGTCTACTGAGTAAATATATGCCGATCAAGTTAAAGCCCAAAAGTTTAAAAACGAAAACGAGAAAAACGTTCCTGCCATGTATATCGTGTATATTTGGAGAAGCAACATGACAAGTTATGGCTACGACTGGTATCTATGATCTAAACGTGTCTCCCGTCCACCGTATGTGAGTAGTAACATCTGACCGACGACAAGGCGTCTTGTTGAAATTTTGACCTCAGTAGACGAATCGACCATCTAATCGAATATTCATTTTAAAAATAATGGATTCCGCCACTACTAAGGAGATCATGAATGTAATATAAAAGCCTAAGAATTATAATCCATTCATAATTGTGATTTACTTTCGTCAGTTATTAAATATGTAGAGCTGATTCATTATACTTAATAAATATTAATAAACGATCGCTGAGGAGCCCAATGGCGCTGGCAATTATATGAAATGGTTGGTTATTGGACGGGTGACCAAAAACTTATTATCTTGACTTTCTCCGTGTTCGGAAGTCACGTTAAGTTGTTCTCGGCTGTGACTGCAGTCGTTAGCACTCATGCACCAATTTGCTGCCCACGTAGGTAGCGGGTCGTGGCCCAATCTCCCTGTGCACTAGCAGAAACAAACCTGCACATTCACTGCGTTCCGCTGTTTTTTTTATGAAATTTGGATAAATTTGGGGTAAGAATTATATAAAAATGTAACAAGATCATTTAAGATTAAAAAAATAAAAGTGGTAGCACAGGACCATTCACTCCCGGCAGCGGCGGCGTGGCGGCCAGCTGCAAATGAAAATCGTTACTCTTCAGATATGTCCCTAAACAGTAGATTCAGTTTAAGACAGTCTCCGACTAAGAGTGTTAGTTAGGCTTATGATAAAAAATCTTAATACACATCCTCAACTTACGATCTTAATCTGAATTGTTTAATCCAGCCATTTAACGCTAACTGTCGCTCCATTGCTTAATTATGAAAGATTGTGTGGCAGAATAATGACAGTACACCGCGCGACTTATCCCCGGAATGTCATTAACATCCAGACATAGATTCAGTTTTTATCATCACTCCTGGCTCCTTCCGTGTTCTGGCGTAACCGCTGCCGTGTCATTATTATACAATGCATTGCTTATGTTACATTATGTTAGTAATTATCCCTTCACATTACATTCCTTGAGAAATACTTTGGAAACGGTTTTTTTGTAGCAGAAGTTACTACTCTGTGATACCTAGTTAGTTGTGAAGTAATTATTTGTTTAAAAGTTACCAAGATTCAATTTGAAAGTAGCACCCATGAGAAATCAACTGAACTATGGATAAGTAATGAGAAGATATAGAAACCACGTGTCAAAGAACGTGAGTATCGTTAATGCATTGGATTTAAAAGGACATGTAGATTACCAAATAGATGGAAGAGAGTTAGATCTAAAATAAAACGTAAATAACAGAGGAATTGTTGCACCAACTATCTCGATGCAATATTAGGCTAATTGGTAGTTGGACAGGCAACGATAATAATAACCCAGGGGAGGCAAATAATAATTTGTACCCTTAGCACGAACCAATATCGAATTCGAATAGTTTGCGAGTGCGAAATGTCATAGTCAAATTTTGTATGGAAACTTGAACAGCAGCACCATAACGTAACGTACGTAACGAGAAATAAAAATCAGTTCATATTTGACAATGACGCTTCGGACTCGCAAACGTTACGGATTCGATATTGGTTTGTGCTAAGGGTACTGTTTACTGCTACTTTTTACACGCTGCCGGATAATATTGATTTTGTTAAATTCGTATAAAAATAATGTTTTTAAAATAATATTAATATTTGGGTGTAAATAAAGGTAACTCAGAAATGATGGTTTTGTTTTTAACACTTTATTTAAATAGAAAACAGAAAGGTTTCTTAAAACTTTATATACTTACAAAAAACATTTTTGCAATGCTAAACTAATCGTCGTCTATTAACATATTGAAGAGTTGAGGTTAATATAGGCAACAGCCATAAAAATACCATCGAAAATAGTGTGCTGAATACATTATTATATTGTTAGTTCGTATTCGAGGTGCGTGTAGGAAGATGGAGGAAAATTTCTAAATAGTTTGGTGTAACATTATATCGCTTACAAACGCGATGAGGTTATTAATATATGAGGACTAAGGACAGCTTCTCACCATAGAAAACTTAAGTAGGTATTTAACGTCAAATAAAAGTTATATGTTATTGAATGTCTCTTATAGTATAGGGGAGAGCACGGAAAAGCTTCCGTAAGCAGAGTGTAAGATACTGTTAGGAACTGATATTATGTTCTAACAAATAAAACATCTGTTACTAGGAACATACTTTTTTTAAGTCATCTGGTATATAATATATAGATAATATTGAATCCTGATTCTAAAAAGTTTAACTTTCACCCTTAAGAAACGTGAATATAATTCATCTATAAGAATTTACTATATATTTACAAAACTTATTCGTCATAATCATAAAGTTCGTTGTTTCAACTTTCAATAGGATTGTTTTGGCTTTAAACAGGTAAAGACAATTTCGATATAATCGCTCTGAGTGGCGTGGCGCCTTACACAAAGATCTGTGAAACTGAATGAATCGATTCATTGTTGTGCCCTGTCATTCCCAACACTCGACTATGAACAGTGAAAGGAAACTGCAACGGCACATTGTGCAATTAATATGAAAACTCGGCTTATTAACCCCGATGTTAACAATTATAGCAATGAGAACAGACTCTGCACCTCTTTTGTGTGAACGATTCCGATCTGTTGATTCACATAAGCTGAAAACTGTTTTGACGTTTGTGATTTTAATTATCACTACATATAAGCTTCACCTTCACGATTCATATAAAAGTCACTGCGGGGATGACAAAGCATCAAAAGTGCGATATCATAACATGCATCGATATGAACACACATTACCTGAGTTTCTTATACTTACCATAACAAACCTCGTAGCGTATGTACTTACTTATCTTATAAGGTAAAATTTTATTTTTATGGCACAAATTAATTTTAGTAACCTATAGGTAATTAGGAATCAGTTTCAGGTACTTAATTAAGCATTAACTGGATTTATGAATCTAAAGAAAATTTTATTAGAATTAGAATTAATTTATTTGTTCTCTCCCATAGAATAACATAACATAATGGTGAAAAGTAAGGTGTACAGCAAATTCACAATATAAGTACCTAACTTATAACTCTACGTAAAAGACTGGCTTCTGCACTAGGAGAATCTGTTATGAAGGTTACCCATTTTACTCGAAACAATTGCACTTGAGGATTTTTTTCTAGTTAAATTTTCTTTAGGTTTATAATTAGGAATCAAACTATTTTTTATTAATTATGGCAAATACATCAAAGGAATTAAATACGTACTATTTTTTTAAATTTTCACCTCAAAAACTTTTTTCCTAATTGTGAAAATCGCTAGTAGGTACATAATAACTATGCATCTATAGGTAGAACATACTTTATTAAAAAAACGTTGTTATAAGTAGCTATACTATTATTTTGTTTTTCAGACATGACGCTTTTACTCCGTCCTTTGCCGCATTATCGGAAACCGCGACCGCTATCGCGCGACCGCCAGTGATGGTGTCCAAGATGGCGGCGCCCGCGCACGTGCAGCACCCGCGAGACGCCGAGCTGCGCCCGCAGCACTCCAGGGATGACTCGAGGGACTCCGGGATATTCCACACCACTAAAGGACTGTGGAACGCGCCGGGACTGAACAATTGCTTCCTCAACAGCGCTGTGCAGGTAAGCGAATATACTTAATGTTGCGTCTGCACTGAGTGGTGGTGTCCAAGATGGCTCCTTCCATACAAACTTTGACGATTGCAATACCATTACGGATCTGTCAAAGTTCCTGCTTGGGCCGCAGCACCCACGCGACGATGTACTACGGCTACAGCATTCCAGGAACAACTCCAGGGATTCCGGGATATTCCACACAACAAAGGGATATAGTCTAAGCTTGTTCCTCGTTTATTAATAAGGGGTAAAAGTTGAAACATCGCTTAGCGAATGTGTGACAAAATGTCTTATTGGTAATTTTGTTTTAGTTATTTGTTTTGCATAGAAATTTAATAATAAATAAGAAGTAGGTACTTATATTACACGAAACCTTTTACGTTTGCGTGCATTCAACCACGGAACAAAAACAAACCTATTCGTATTTGAGCATAAGTATAAAGTGTTTGATCAAGACTCAAGGATCTCTATTTGGTTAAAGAGATTAGCTAAACTACAAAAAGTCGTTTGCTAAGTTCTGCTTGAGTTCTCAGAAGCGTATTCAACAGTCAATACATTTATGGTGTTCGCAAATAATCTTGTGGTCGTTGAATCGCGCGGTGGGCGGCGTTTTTAGTTAGCATAGAGGCATATTCTTTTACAAGAATAGGTACGTGACTTGATATGAAATATGCGTGAGGCATTTTCTCTTCGTACTTTGAGAAGTTCTAACTGACTGCCTATTTATTTTTAGCCTTTAATACGAGGAAAATGTAGATTTTCTAATTTGAGTCTACTCATAGGTAGAATTAAAAGTAAAAAATAAAAATGCTGCCCATCACACGTTCATCATACCAAAAAAATAATATCATAAAAATATACCCATGAGAGGAGGGGTGGAGCATTTTTTATATGCTTAAAAACAAATTGTTGATTTTAACTGTGTCGTCCTACTCCTACCCAAAGAAAAAGTATTGAACGACTTCAAATTGGAATAAGATATTTTAAACTTTTAAATCCTCTCGCCGAGAACTTGGTTCGAAAATCCATCATGGTCTGACGTAAGCCGGAGAAAATATTAGGAGATAATTCTCATGATAAACGGTAGGCATTAGTCGTGGACGCGCCTGCGCGTTATTCAAATTTCGTCGGGTAAGCTGGGGGCATAAGCCTCGTTTTAAAAAAAAAACAAGTTAACACTTTATATATGACGTCGATAGATGCATTAAGTTAAATTAACTCACCAACTTTGTTAAAAAAAAGCGTGGTGAAGACTTTTTTGTGGTTCGGTAGTTCTGACAGGGAACTCTTATAGTTTCGTTATGTCCGTCTGTCCATCCCCGGTTTTGCTTGGAAATTATTGGCACTAGAGGACTGTAATTTTGTTGATTACAGCTCTCTAGATTTTGTTTTGGGCAGCTTCCCTACATGTAACCTGGGGATGATCTTTTTTTATCATCTACCCCATCGTTTGGGATGTCGTTGAATAGGTCATTTAAAATTACTTAGGGGTTCCTAAGACTATGTTACATGTATGATAATAGTGCTTTTCATGAACTTTTGAGGAAAACTATAACGGTTAAGATAGATTTGTTAGTTTAAGAGTAATAGTAGTTCAACTTTGGTTAAATAAAATTTCTTAACTATTAAAAATTCTTAATTCTTTAGAAGAAAACATTAATACAGTCATAGAATAAGTTATTGTAGCGTAAAACCTCGCATTGCAACGAAATCTTAAAAAAAAACTATTATAAAATATCAAATATATTGTGGTAACTACAGGCAACTACGGAACTCTACACAGCGCGTGGCACGACACGCACTTGGTCGGTTTTTTGGGATTATAATGGTTTTACAAGATAAGTACTTGTACAAGATTCTGGGGACAGCGGAGCCTACAAATATTTCGAAATATCAAAAATAATGTAAAATAAATAAACCCCGCTTTGCAAAAGTTTAAAAAGCTATTTATTTTAAGGTTGGTCTTTATGCATTATAGTAGGAAGTAGATCGAGACTTCACGAGTAGGCGACACCTTGAAACCCGGCCGTTATACCACTCGGCCACGGAGGTCGTCGAAAACATTGTCTTCCAAATATTATTTTCTTCTGAAAATACCGGAAAACTAGTCCTCAAACACTTCTTTTCACTAACCGTCTATAAAATACTAAAGCATCCTTCGGTCAAAGGTAAACAACATACCGGTAATGACCGCTGGGGTCATCACATCATCACACAATACGACTCCACGACACACGCATCTTCATAACGGTGCAAACTCATTTACACCGGTTTTCCTTATAAGTTGACGACCAATGTGGAACGTATTCTCTAAGCAAAAGAGTTAAGTTTTCAGGGTAACATCATAAGCAGATGACATGCAGCTTATTTGCAAAGATTGTTTGAGTTTTGATTTTTGGTTAACACTTAAACATGGACTTATTATAAAAAGTCCATGCACTTTAACAGTAATTTGACAGGACGTTTATGTTGACTGTTATCTGATATAATAATTTACCATTGGTTGCTAATTCAATATTACAGCTAAAACCTTAGATTAATGAGCATTAAAACAAGAAACTGTAGACAAATGTTTATTCATATAGCTCAATCTATATGAATACTCATTTGTTTACTGTTGTAATTTGTACACCTACTATTCCATATCCCGGCAGAGCATCAAATGTCCAATGCGATTTCATAAAAAAATACAGTAACATATCACTGCCATCACTAAAAGCATGAGCGAGCTTTTAGATTATCAATCAGCAATTACGAAGTTGCTGATTGAAAAATAAGGATAAAAGATAAAAGAAGTGCATTTTTAATAAAATAATGAATAGGTACTTCATAATTTCAAGCATTAAACTTTCTTGTACGTTAAGTACTGAACATAATTAAATACCAGATTTCCTTATTATGTCACCAAACTTTTTTTTAATGTCAATAAATCGAAAGAGTTTCTGTTGGATTAACTATTTTAAAAGTAATTCCGAAATTCAATCTACTGCATTGAAAACAAAGATAAAATTTCAAATATATTTATTCCATATTAATATACACACATCAAAAGTGTCTAGGGATCAACATATATTTTTGCAATAACTTTTCTCCTGATTGATATTAATTAAAATTTTCTTTAAGGATTCATCAAATAAAGTGTTTTCGTTTGTCACAGTAACGATAAACCAAGTCACCTTTGCATTAATAAAGAAATTTGCCATTTTCCTAATAAAGGGATTTTTGACATTTGAACCACTAACACAAAAGTTCGAAAAAAAGACTGAAATAACAGTTTTCTCTAAAATTTTATTGGGTAACTTAAACAATTAATAATCCGTATTTCTACCGCGAACACTAACAACACAAGAACATCGGTTTGGCATACTCAAAATGAGTTCATCCAAATCACGCTGTGGAATGGCCGCCCATGTTCGTTGCAACAACAAAAAAAGGTCTTCTTGCGACTGGATACCCTCCATATTCGGCAGAGCTCTTCTCTGTAGCATATCCCATGCATGCTCAATCGGGTTCAAGTCTGGCGACTGAGCAGGCCAGGGCAGGACATTGATGTTAGCTGCGGCAAGAGTCTGTCTTACAACTCTTGCGGTGTGCGGTCGTGCATTATCATGCATTAACTGAAATAAGGGACCGATTTGCTTGTAGAGGAACGATGACGTCTGATACAATCGTCTCAGCATAAATTTGAGCGTTGAGGTTGCCTCTGATCCAAATCAACTCAGTTCTTCCGCCGATCCAAATACCCGCCCATACCATGATGGTTCCACCACTATAAGGATGGACTTCCTGGCAGGATTTTAATCGCTGTTGGCGTCCAGGGGTTCTCCAGTGTCGTATACGTCTTGTATCCGGTCTCATACCAAAACGAGACTCATCAGAAAAGCACACGAAACGCCATTGTTCTTCTGCCCAATTTCTGTGTTCAAGAGCCCATTGATATCGAATCCTACGATTGTGCATTGCTATAGGTGGTACCCGTAGCGGTCTTCGGGAATGAAGGTTCACTTCATGCAAGCGGTTTCTGACTGTTTGGTCGCTAATTAAGTTCCCTGAAGAGTGATGAAGCCTCACGGCTAACATCATGGCGGTTATTGTTGGAGCTCTTCGAGTTAAGATTTGAATGTATCGGTCTTGTCTCCGTGTGGTGCAGCGATACCGTCCTCCATGGCGCTCAGCCACGGTACCAGTGCTTCGGTATCGTGTCCAAAGTCGACTGATAACACTCTGACTTGTATTCAGAGCTAAAGCCACAGTACGTTGCCGGGAACCAGCTTCTATCATTCCCACGGCTCTGAGCATTTCTTCCCTGCTTAAATGACGTCGCCGCTCCATAATAACGTTGGTTTTAATCAGTAGTAGGGAAACAGTAGCACTAATAATGTCTTCAATGCGTTGTATGTTTTTATAGGGAAAATATTGACAGCTGATTTTCATCTTTTACTCGAATTTGATTCACAGTTCCTGATTCAAATTATGAAATGCACCAAAAAGGATCCATATAAATTTATAAAATCATAAATTTATTACAAAGCCACATCTCAATCTCAAGAAATCCGCATAAAAATGCTTGATCCCTAGACACTTTTGATGTGTGTAGTTTCCCTGTTATTAGAAGAGCCTAAGTGAAAATACGCATTCTTGAAATAAGAAAAATTTACTGCTTTGTGATTTTTAAGCGAATTATTGGACAAGTGGGTGAGGAATCAGTTTGGTCGATAGTACATAAGCATATATATAAAGTATTAGATATGATCGTACAGCTACTAAATAAAATAATGCTATTGGGTATAATGTTACTTGTTCCCTACATTTGCTACTCGCATTCTTATCATTACAGAGGTATCCACTATCTTATTTTAACAGAGTGCAAGTGCTTCTTTCTCCGTGTTTTAAAAGTGTCCTTTTCTGTAGATAAGTTTCACTTAGCATTGATAAACTCGAATGTAGAGTGATCAAAGTAATCGCTTAAAATCAGTCTTACGTTATCACTGAATTATTGTGGCTAA